ACTCTTAAGATAGGTGCTCTTCTCTTATTCTTTGTCATAAAAATACTACCCACACCAATACCCACCTATTCACACCTAAACCGAAGCCCAGCCACTCACACCCACATCCACACCTTCACATCAACATCTGTTTCTCTCAGCTTCCTCTGGCTGTTAGTCCTTTTCTAACTAACAATGTCAACTTCCGAGCTATCGATTTTATTGAATCACAAATATTCGCTTATCCTTATAAACCCAAGAAAACAAAGAACAGATGAAATAAAGTCACACCTTGCATGAAACTATTTAGCATCGGTTTTTGTCGTCGTTGGGTGTCCTACGTTATTTTCGATTGAGTAGAGCATTTTATATTTGTATACCATGCCGTTACCATCTCCGAAAACGTCCGTAGGGTCGTCGGCGTCTGGATCATAGTAGCTGTCTACGCGTTCGCCGATGCAGCTAACTTCCATTTTAACTTTCAATTCTTCAGCCCAAATGTCTGTCATGGCCGTCAGGTGGCGGATGATATCTCCTTGCTTGTGCGTTCCACTATTCTGGTATTTATTCACCAAATCACTTAGCAGGCGTTTGTCTTCACAGGCGATTTCAATGACAGAGAAGCGATCGGGACCGCTCGTTAACTGTGAATAGTCACCCGGTGTGCCACTTTTAACCTGCCGCCTCCACCAGTCTTCTCCCGCCCAGGAACAGACAACGGACTTGGTCGGACGGTTCCACTCACATTTCATGTCGAGGTTCTCGCTGTTTTGGAAACTTTGAAGGAATTCAATAATTTTTTTCCCAGTTTGGTACGCCTTAATAAAATCACCCATGCTTAAGAAATTCTTTGAAGTGTTTTTAACCCTAGAAATAAAATAAAAATCACTGGTAGAAAATGTTTATCTCCCGAATTTTCTGGGTGTGGGTGTGGTTATTTTTCTCGTTCAACATCAATACTGGCATCTACATCCATTCGCACTCATCCATATCCTCTAGATGGGTACACTTAGACATTCTGACTAATTGCAGTTGGTATTCCCGGGTATTGGTACTACGACATCTCTGGGTAGCTCCTAAAAGGTTATGAATGCTATCTCGTTTCAATCGAACCTAATAGCATGGAAGGATATTCCTATTTGTACTGATCATGAACAAGAATTAAGTGTAGTAGGACAATAAGGTAATTACATATCGGCCGCGGTTAAAAATAAACTATGCAATTAGCTTTAATGCTGAACCCAAACTAAACTCATGAGAAGAAACTTTCCAAGCCCAAACGATTGGAATTTCGATTATGTCTACCTTCAAACAAACACAAATATCAGAAGATACGGCGAGAATAAACATTCATAATAATACACTAGGTATTCAAGACGCATTAGCATTTTTGTTTGATGAAACGGAAAACTTACTTGTTATTTTCGCTGCTTATATGTCTGAATTAGACTGTTTGGAGTATATGTGACAAAAATATTAATGCTCGATAACGATCTTTCCCCAGAAGAAAACGATGATAAACGAAATATTTTTTTTAAAGTATCTAACACATTGAAGTCTAGCATATATGAGTGTCAATATATACTCTGTTTCTTATCTACAGGTATATGTCGGAAACTATTATCAATTTCAAAAAAAGAAAAAAGCTTTCTGTTTTATTGTCATCCATCTTGAGGGTGTAGGTGTGGGCCCGTATGAGTGTGGATGTGAGTGTCGGTGTGGATATCTGAGTTAGAATAGTGTGAGATTCACACCCAGACTCACACCTACCCTCACCCACACCCGCACTCATACCCACAGCCATAGCCACATCCACACCCACGCTCTCAAACTCGCCATGGCTCGCATTAATTAGCATCTGAATTTGTCGCAAAACAGCGACATCTTTTTAGCATAATACTTTATTTTATTTTGTTGGCCGGATGACTTTATTATTAACTTTATATATCAGTCGTCTAGATAAGAAAATTGTGTTTGCATTGTTGTCTACGGATAGCTGCAAAATGGAGTCGATACTACAGAATGAAATAAATTTTACATGGGGTGAACAACCATCAACACTTCCTCTAGAACTTTCATCGGAACATCCATTACCGATGAACTGGAATACTGAACGAAGTGAACCTACCATCGTTCATTGTACACTTGCTTCCGATGGTATATGGGTTTTTAATGGATTATTCACAGAGTATGAATGTGACGATTGGAGAAAAGCATCATTAGATATTGGGTATAATACATCACGTGAAATTACTCCTATTGGACAGTGTGTGTTAAATCACTCCGCGCGTACTGGTACACCCATTATATGGCCTGCGTCAACATCCATTAGAACTAATAAACGATGCATATGGCAAGTTCCACGTTTTGAAGTCGATATGCAAGACTTATTACATATTGAAAACCACAATCGATAATGAGCGATGTCGATTTATGGGAACCAACGGGCTTGAATCGTCGTTGGAGATTCTTTGAAACGAACGAGGATGACGAATTTCAATATCATATGGACGCAGCTTGTGCACGAGATAATGGTGAGCGATCCTTTGCATCGCTTGTTATCTGGTTGAATGATGACTTTGAAGGTGGAGAATTAAATTTTGACAATGATATCTCCATTAAGCTTGTGAAAGGCAATGCAGTATTATTTTGGCACGATGGTCATCCTGATGCCAGGAAACATTGAGGATGTCCTGTTGTGCGTGGAGTGAAATATTTAATAAGGACTGATCTATTCTACAAACCTGTACGGACTTCATAGTCGAGAATGATACCAAAAAGCAAATATTTTTTTCTCTTTTATGCTTTATCTTAAAGAACTATTAAATATTTATTTATATGATAATTTAATGAAAATAAGAGTAATTAGAGTGTGGGTGTGTAGGACTAATGAACATCCATTCACATCCACACCCTTAGAGTAAATAAAGACAAAGTGTTCAAATATAAGCTGTATTCAATCCCAAATGCTTTTGCATAAGCAATATTCTACAGAGATCGTACACATAAAAAAGATTTTTCATGATAATTCCGGTATTCAGATAACACCTAATTTTTGGATAAAATCCGAAGTTCTCGCAATTTTTAGTTTCATTTACTAAAGCAATTGTATCATATTTATTATGCATCTAATACTTCATTGCATCAATCAAAGTCAGTTAAATACAACGGATGAGAGTGGCATTATCATGTTTATTTCACATTCGCATCGATAAACTTAACTGAAATGATCATAGGTTAACTTATTCGTCTGTAGATGTCGGTTTATATTATAACACGTCATATACGTATAAAGATAAAACACACTGTCATTCTTGTTTTTCTTCTTTCTTGCTACGAAAAGGAGAATGATAAAACAAAAAATGTGCTTCGATTCTTTTCCTCCAACGTATATAAAGCATTATATTTGCGCAGTCGTTTTTCTTGTTTGTTAACACACGACACGATGTCTTATAAACTTCATTATTTCAATGTTCGTGGCTATGCTGAGATTTCTCGTTTAATATTTGCTGCTGCTGGACAAAACTTTGAAGATATTCGTTATGAACGCAATAGTGAAGAATGGACAAAACATAAAAATGAAATGCCATTAGGTCAAGTTCCAGTTTTAGAATATGATGGCATGAAACTACCACAATCAAAAGCAATAGCTCGTTTTCTTGCAAATCAATTTCATTTAGCTGGAAAAGATAATTTTGAACAAGCAAAAGTTGATTCTATTGTTGATACACTTTATGATTTAGTAACAGCATTTATACCAGTTCGTATGGAACAAGATGAAACAAAACAAAAAGAATTAGCTAAAAAATTCTTTGATGAAGAATTACCAAAACATTTAAAAAATCTGGAAACTTTAGGTAAAATGTATAGTAATGGTGGTTCATTTTTTGTTGGAAATCAATTAACATGGGCTGACTTAACTTTCTATAATTTTACAGACCTTATTTTTCAATCGAATTCAGATTGTCTCAATAATTATTCATGGTTACAAAACAATCGTGCTGAAGTAGAAAAACAACCAAAAATTGCTGAATATCTTAAAAATCGTCCTAAAACAATGTAAACTGGCAAATATTTATTAACTATTTATTCTCTTTCTTCTTTCATTCCTATTAGTTTTAATAAAATTTCATCAAACTTTTTAGAAAAAGTAGTTACGATTCTGTAAAGAAAAAGAAGACAATTTGTTATTAGTTGTTTTTTTTAAGAGGACATATAAAATATAGATAACAGAAGAACAATAAAAAAGAAGATAAATATAAAAAAAGTGTTAATCAAAAAATCTCAATATTATTGATATTTTTATACATTAAGTCTTGTTGAAACAATGTATGATTTTCACAACACTCCTTTTCTGTTACGAAAAATAATTTAATTTATCACGAACTAACAATTCTGATAATATTTCTCAATTTACTAAAATGAATAGTCATCCACAATGTTGTTATTTGCTCTATTTTCAATGATAAAGTTGATTGACTGTTTGTGATAAGGAAAAAACAATATTATTTCACTTGCATGAAATAAATGAAAAAGATAGTGTCAAAATTAGACAATATTGTTATCGAAATGACAGAAGTCATTATATAAAATCATGAGAAATATTTCATATAATTTATCATAGTTAATATTCAACACGTCATATCTTACTTACAATACCTATGGAAAAAAACAACAACTAATGTTCAACAAGAAACAGTTTCTGTAATAAATGAGAACGATGAAATAGCACGTGAACCATCAATATTACCTCCATCATATACTGTTGGTGATCTTCAGCAGAATCTTGGATGTCATACTGTAGGCATTATTGGAGGAACAAATCCTGATGAAGATGAAAAAATTATTCAAAATATTCTTCGTATGATAAAAGGACATGAACGACGACAACTATGGTGGAATTTATTTTCTTTTTTGTTCATATTACTTTTACTTCCACCCGTTATATTTCTTATATTTATGCCGATTTGTATGTACAAAAAGCGCATGTCAGGAATGAATCAGATAATTAAAAATGGTATTCGTTATATGATTCGTTTGGAAGGTGATCAATGGATAAGATATGTTCAACATATCAATAATGATTCGAAACAAAAAATGAATAAATCATCTAGGAAAGAACTCTTATCTCGTAGTTATGGTCATATACTTATTGGAACAGACGGATTTTTTCTTGATTCAATGTTAGGTATGCAATATGAAAATATAATGATTGTACGTACAGAAATTATTCAAGCACCAAATAAGATTGATATGATGTTACGCGCATGGTTTTGTCGACGTTCAGTTGTTATTAGAACACAAAATGGTCAGACGAATGGAGCTGTAAACAATGATCCATTTAAGTTTGATATTTTTCTGCCATTAAATATGTCTACTGAATTAGTGTCATCAATTACAAATTTTATGAAGCTTGAATCAGTATGTCGACCGAATTTTATTCTTTAACAATACGACATTTCTTTCTAAAAGACAATTTTCTCTAATTGACTAAATCTATATCAACATCTGTACACACTTTTATGATCAGTTCATTAAAAGAAATATTATTTTCGTTCTCATGTTCTCTATTTTTTTTGATGATTTTATCGTAATTTCGGCGTAATACGACTCCTACGTATTTCAATCACACTTGAAAACAAGGAAAAGGCGACTATGAGTTTCATAGTAATAGCTTGGGCCTCACTGAAATCTTGAGGGTGGGTGTGGGTGTGGTTATCAGAATAAGGTTAATGTTAGACCC